CTTTCCAATTTAGATGCTAAATGTTTATTGTTTTGATAATTGGCATCCTGCTCATACTTCCCCCAATTGAGACCCTCTTCCTTTTTTATTTTGTTCTCGTGATGTTGTGACTTTGCACCTCTCACAACTACTCCAATCCTATTCAAATACTCATTATAGAGAGCCGACATATGCGTGGACATAACAGATAGTTTTACTACCGCAAAGCCACGAGCCTCTCGCATAGAATCCCTTTCAAGTCCTTATCAAGCCAACTCTTAGAAGTCCTGGTTAAGTCATACATGTTGCATAAGCCCTAGGTGGTTTGACCCTTGGTGTCAATCCACATAATTAGTAGTCACCCTCTCGTCTAAAGGGCCCCAACACCCTTAGACAAATTGCATATTTATGTGTCAACGTGATCATAATAATTAAATCAAGGCAACTTTGTGAAAATGGAGTTTAGAAGTCGTTTGTTACTTTGTTTGCAGAGTCATGGCTCACCCTCATTTTCCCAACACACAAATTGTGGTCAAAGTTAATCCCATTTTGAAGACTTGGTTGGAAGATATTCAAAAAATCGAGAGTTAGAAGCAAATGAACTGTTAGGCGGCCTCACTGCTTTGAACCCTTCTGCACACCTGAATATTACGTATGGCTTTTAGAAGACATAGAGCATAGAGATTTGAGCGAAAGAGGTCTTCCTGGTTTTGGCGATGAAAAAGAGAGAAGATGGGCTCGCAACCTTCTCAACACCGACTATGACATTACCCAGAAATGAGGAAGCAGATTGTGCCTAACATTGGAGAGCAACATAATTGAAGTTCTTTTTTTTTGTTCTCTTTATTCCCCATGTGTTATCCCTAGACCTTTAGTTATCTCTAGATTGATGTAATAAATAGAATTTATTTCAATAATTGAAAGTCGTTTTATTGTCTAACTCCAAACTCCAATTGGCAAATAAGGCTTGAATTAATTACTGTGCATCACTTATGTGTCGCTTAGGCTTACGTCTGGCTCAACGAGACTCTTTTGTATTTAGGGCGTTTATCTTAAATAACGTGTTTGATATCCCAATTTATGCAATGTTCTAACTTGGGTTTTATTTTTTTATTTTTTTTATTTTACTCTTTCTCAATGGTTGATCTGTAGACCTTAGTTTATCACAGGCAGTCAAATGATTCATTTCCTTCTCTCCCGAACGAGAATCGCAAAGGAAAAGTGAAAGCGACTAATGCTAAGGCTATGTGCAAAACTATTGAAAAAAGTGAGAAGTTGGTATCAAACCTTGATCAGAAAATAAAGAAGTTAGAAGAAGAGTTGTTGGACGTGCGCGAGTGGGCAAAGTTGTTACTCTCCGCCAATCCAACTTTGGAGACGAACATGGATATGTCACTTTTTGCAAGTCAAGTCACTCTCGAAAATTATCCTCCTCCAGATTACTCTACCTATCAAAGTCAACCAAGCTCCATTCAAATGCCTCCAAAGAATCCTCCGCAACATCATGCATATGCTCCTAAACCTCAACTCCTTACTTCACACCCGCATCACCCTACTATGCAAGCTCCTCAATACGAAACACCTCTGCACCAAGTTCCTTGGCATCATGCACCTCTCATGCAATTTCCAATCCCTACATATCAAATGTCTCTGTACCAAAGGCCTCCTATACCATATCTTTTGGAACTACGTCAGACCTGATTCCCGTTTAAGAGAGGATACGTAGGCGCTCATATAGGGTTTGGTCTTACCATAATAAAACTTTCATTTTCCCCTTCTATTGATAACTAGGGCAGAATTTTTGAGAGGATCTCAAAATTCCATCAATATTTCTTCTTGCACATCTCCATACTGGGGCAGAATTTTTGAGTAAACTCAAAAATTCCATCAAAAAACATCTTCCCAACAACTGGGCCAGAATTTTAAGAGGATCTCAAAATTGCTAAAAATCAAGACTGGGTAAAATTTTTTAAGAGAATCTCGAAAAATCCAACAGTCGAGCTACAACTACAACAGATCAGAATAACAGAAGTTCTACACTGTGGCAGAAATTTTGAGAAAATCTCAAAATTTCCGACAGTACTCCGAAGAGCATTCTATCAGACACCAAAGAAGCACGCTGTGCCAAATCATGGATATAGATCAACCTCCCCTTCAAACTAACTATTTTTCTTTGAATGTAGAAAATACAGGTACATATACAAAGGCAGTTTCAACAATCAACATACCACTTTTGAGCCCGACAAATGACAACAAGGTGAATGTCCAAGCTACTACATACCCTCATCATTCAATTATGAAGTTTCACTATGCCTGAGATCTAGGTTTGCATGAATACATTATGCCCGAGATCGCACTATGCTCGAGAATGCATCATAGCATGTGCCCGAAGAAATGCATCATTGCATTGTGTCCGAAGAAATGCATCATTGCATTGTGCCCGAAGATATACATCATTGCCTGTGCCCGAAGAAATGCATCATTGCATATGCCCGATAATGCATCATTGCATGTGCCCGATAATGCATGTGCCCGAAGAAATGCATCATTGCATTGCGCCCGAAGAAATGCATCATTGCATTGCACCCAAAGAAATGCATCATTGCATTGTGCCTTAAGAAATCCATTATTGCATGTGCTCGATACTGCATTTTCCCGAAGAAATGCATCATTGCATGTGCCCAAAGAAATGCATCATATGATGTGCTCGATATTGCATGTGCCCGAAGAAATGCATCATCGCATTGTTCCCAAGATTGCATTGAAGTTTGCATAAGATCAAGATTGCATCGTGCTCGAAGTTTACATGCACCCGAATCAAATCAAGTCACAAGAGTATCAACAGATGCCAAAAATAGATAAGCTCTCTTTACTCATTACTTATATCCCAAAGGCGTCATCCTCCAAAGGCATCATCTTTCATGGCCTGCGGACTTCATGCCATGGCATGAGGACTTATTTTATGCATATCATGTTCCTAAGGAATCATAGTCTTAAGGCATCATCCTCATGGCCTGCAGACATCATATAATTGTCTAAGAGTTTAATTTCTGTCTATCATGATCCGAAGGTGTCATAGTCTAAAGACATCATTTTCATGGCCTCCAGACAGTATTTTCATGGCCTGAGGATACATTTCGCGTATCATGGCCCTAGACATCATAGCCTAAGACATCATTTTGCATGGTCTTAAGGCAAACATTCATGGTCAATATGGGAAATTGCATCATGTTTACATATACTGCTTATTCTGCTCTAATTACTCTATTACAAGTTACAGTTATGCAGATTACAGACAAAGTCGCCTTCTGAACGACTGTTCCCTTGCTTACACACAAAGGCTCCGACAAATTCTTGGCTACTCGAACTATCGTTTCGCTACTCATCTATCATTCAGGCTACCATGAATATATCTTCGGATTCAACTCGCCACTGTGACCTACTGTCTCTTCACTTAGGCTCGTCCGCCTTACAATGCGACATCTAGGCTCGTCCGCCTTACAATGCCACATCTAGGTTCGTCCACCTTAAAATGCGACATCTAGGCTCGTCCGCGTTACAATGTGACATCTAGGCTCGTCCGCCTTACAATAAGACATTTAGGCTCGTCCGCCTTAAAATGACATTTAGGTTTGTCCATCTTATAGGACATTTAGGATGTCCGTCTTAAAAGGGACATCTAGGCTTGTTCGAATTATAAAATATTTAGGTTGTCCGCCTTAAAATGACGTTTAGACTCCTCTTACAACCAACATTTTTCTTATATTATTATATCTTTATAGTATCAAATCTATTGGAGTTTGACGTTATTCTTCAGAGATGGGTTTCAATCCTTCAAGAAGTTAAAGACTATCAAGACTTGCACTACGTCTCAAATAGATACGCTTTTTATCACCCCTTGTCTATTTAGAACTCATATTTTATTATTATTGGTCAATACTTTATCTATTTATAAGCTAACATTTTATCTAGAATTTGCAGATATGATCGATCGCCCTTGATTACAATTATCATGCTATCATCTATCACAACGAAGACCCTATCAATTCTTCATTTTTCATACTCCGAACCTTGCTCAAATGCTTATATCCTCACTCTATCATGCTTCTTCTCTATCACACTCTTCTAGCCTCTCAATCTCTCTTTTCTCGCTACTCTAATCTTATGCATTCAAGCCGATATCGTGCCTTTCAAATACCTTAGCGCCCTTTTAACTTTTAAGAGTTTCATTTGCTCTTGAATTTAGAACTACACACGACCTGATTCTCGTATAACCAGAGATATGTAGGCGACTTAAAACCAAAGTCTCGGTCGTACCCTTTTTCAACTCTATATCGTTTCAAATGACCCCACTGACATCAGTCGTCGGTCGGACAAAATCGGCTTCTAAGTCAACGTTGGTTGCCTGACAATTCATTCTTCATTCTCAATCAACCAAGGGGCAGCTGTTGACACCCAATTTTGACCGACCTTTGACCATGTTTAAGAATACTATTCAATTAAATACGTATTTTAAATTTTAGAATTTTTAGCCGACTTTGCTTGAAAATTATATATTTTAGTATGTTTTACTTTATAAATTTATAGTAAATATTATTAAAAAATTTTAAAATTATTAATGAATTCCAAATATTTTAAAATTTAAATGATTTTCAATTATATAAAAATATTTTAATATATGTAGTATTTTAATTAAATAATAATTCCTAGACTTTCCTTAAATTTTAAATTCTAGCCTATTCTATCATAATTTCTTTCAATTCTTGCCACTTCAATTAGAGTTTATTTCAATCATAGCCCCTCTTTCATTTCAATTCTAGCCAAATTTTATTGCAAATTTTAACCATTTCACATCCAACCAAATCTGATTTCTAAATGTCATCTTTTAATACCATTCGTCCATTTAAATAACTAAATCCTAGATCAAATCCTAACCTTTATTTCTTATTAAATCAACGGTTGTGATTAAATTCCCTTTTCTTCTTGATTTCAATACACTAAAATCAAAACCTAAAAAAATTCTACTCTCTCTTCCTCCCCTCCCTCTCTCCAGCCGCTTCTCTCTCTCCCCATCCTTCTCCCTCCCCTCTCCAGCCGCCTCCCTTCTCTCTCCCTCTCCTCCATTTTTCCTGCGAGGGAGACAGCTGGACGGTGACCCAAGCAGCCGCGCTGCTCTTCTCTATCTCTTCCATCCCTCTCCCCCTTCTCCGACCAACCAGCAGCCGCCGGAAGCAGCAGCTTCCCGTCGCCCGCCCTCTCTTTTCCTCCCTTCTCCGCCCTCTCCCCCTTCTTCTGTTCTTCTCCTTCTCTCTCCCCGTAGCAGTAGCTGCACGCAGCCAGCAGCCACCGACAAGAGGCAGCGGTACCCCCTCACTCTCCTCGTCTCCTTTTCTAGAGAAAGCAGCAAGAAACAGCAGCTCCGGCCACCAGCCAGCACCCGCTGGCAGCGTCCCTCTTCCCCGCCTAAACCCCGCTTTCCCGTCGTTCTCTCCTCCTCTCTTCCCCTCCCGTCTCTTTTCTTCCCCCTTTCCCTTCTCCTTCTTTTTTTTGCAGGTTCCAACAGCCATAGGACAACCTCAACAAGCAGCCAGACGACCTCGACCCTCCCCTTCTCTTCTCCGATTTTCAGCAGCTTCAACTCCAACTCCGGCAAGAACATATAGCGGATGTTGACAAATATCTTAAAGATTTTTGAGCTTAATAAAGATGGATCTTAACAGATCCGTCCAGGTAAGTTAATTGATTTTATACCCTCTACTTAAACTCTTTATTTTTTTAAGCTATGGTGGATGATTATGCAAGCAATCATATGATATTATTATTATCTTTTGTCTGTTTTAAGTTGTATGATTATCGTGTTAATTTCTTATATATATTTGGGTTGTTATTTAAATTGCCATGAACTAGTGATTATTCTGTACTTGATTATGCTTGCATTTTTCTGATATGGTAATTAATTAGTAGGTAGATGAATTTTTCCCTCTAATTAATCCGTTTATTTATCTTATATGTTATTCCTAACTCCCTTCTTTTTGTTATTAGTGAATATTTATATAAAGATTGAATATTACATCTGGCGCATATGTTTCTTTGTTTATGAACTTGAGGTATTTTTATATAATATTATCTTGTGTTACCTTATATTATTTTCTTGGCTAAGGGCATATTGTAGTATATCTTTGACTTACCTAGTCATGTTAAAATTATTGATTTAGCCGTTTGTGAATATTTATTAATTCATCATTTATCCTTACTTGTTGTCCCTTGGTTTTATTAAAATCAAAATAGACTCTTATATGATCCTTCCTTGGTAAGTCTATATTTTACTCTTATGTGTATAATATTAATTGATTTTTATTTCCTCAATTAAAATTAACCTTTTTTTTATTCGTTTTTATATTTGACAACGAATATCTTAAAAATAATTCTTTTGGACTCTTATTTATTTAAGGTAAAAGAATATTGTATTCCTTACTTTATTCTTACTCTTTTTCTTAGTAATGAAATATTCTTTTTTATAAAAAAATCTGATTTGTCTCTCCTTAAAAAATAAAATAAATAAATAATAATAGTATTTCTCTTCCTAATTTGTTCTTGCTTATATTTGGAAGTGATATATTTTTATTTTTGGCTGATTTGAACCTCCTTTAAAATAAGGAAAACAGTATATTTAATTGATTCCTTTAAATATTTCTTTTCCTTATTTGTTTCTCTCACTTTGCTATATAAATAAGACCCCCCCCCCCTTCATTATATCATCAACTCATACAATCATTCACTCTCAATCACAAACTCTCTCATCACTCTTCATTCTCTCATTGCTCTCTTGCTAGTCTAAGTACATGAAGATTTCGGTAAATATTCAAGTGTTCTTCTTCGCTATTTTGCTACTTTGTTCGAGTAAAAGTTGAATCAATTTGTTTTTGCTTAACAGGTTAGTATTCTTAACATTTACACTATCTTTACATTCACACATTTGTGTAAGCTATTGTCTATTTTTTTGGTTTATATGTAGAATTCGTCATTAAACAATTGCATATTGTCTCACCTTGACTAATAAGTGTGATTACTTGTGTAGTTATTTGGCTGCTTTGACAGGTTTCAAACTTGAAGTTCAAGTTGAAGATTAACCATGAAGAATGATTTATTTTCTTATTTGAATCTATTTTTTTTCTTTCTTATTTTATTTATTCGAATGTTGTAACATTTGTAACTCAAAAGATCATATATATAAATTTATTTGGGGGATCGTCTAGGGGAGGGGGATTTACATGCCTACTTGTTCATTATTTTTTTTTTTGTATTTTTTTAGAAATCATGCCTATAGGTTTATCTTTAACCACCTAGAATTATTGTTTGTAGGTGTTATAATCTAACCAATTTCAAATTTTGCTTGGCGTTTTTGTTAATAAGTCTTAAAAAAATAATAACTAGATTCCATTAATTTTTGAATGTCAAAATCAAATCATAATAATTTAGTAGGCTGATTAGGTGTTTTAATAATGTTATAACTTTTAGCATTGTCTTGTCATGTAGAAACCATGCCTAAGGATTAATTAGTTCATATCATTTAGATTTACAAAAATCATGCATATATGTGTTATTTTTTGAACACCTAGAAATTCATGTCTATAAGCTTGTAAATAACTTTTAACATATCCATAAAAAAATAAAATTTGTTTGTGCATATTTGTGCCCTCCCCCCAAAATTAGTTAATATTATTTAATTAGTAATCTTATTTGTCTTCTGGAAGATTTCCGCATTCATGATGCAACTTTATTGTTCTACTAGTTTTTTACTTACAAAGTTTTGCAACATAATTTTCTTAAAAGTCATTATTCAATCTCCCTTTAAAATTTTGAATTGATTATAACATTATTTATTATAAGCACTATCTCCTAACCTATCGTTAGTGGGAAAGTCAAAGGAACTATGAGGTCTAGTTCTAATTTTTAAATTAAACCGACGCATCCTCAGAAGTACCACCTACCAATGAATTTCAAAAGGAATTATGTGTATTTATGTGTAAATATGTATGTGCCTACATGTAAACTAAATCTTTTAAATCATTTTCAAAAACATAAACTATTTTTAGACCGACCTCTAATCAAAAATTTTTTCTATGGTGGAGGAGCGCGATCAACAATATCGTATCATCATCCCTATAAAGAAACAAACATTTTTTTAAAATAAAAATTCCTACTCAAAACTTATCAATTTTCAAACTTTACTTTCGCACATATTTATTGCTTCATATTTGCCAATTTTGTTTATAACATAGTCTCATAAGCTTAAAACTTGATTGTTTATTTATTGCTATTACTTCGCCTTGCATGCTCAAATTAATAAAAAATAAAAAATAAAAAATAGGCCCAATTGTTTATATTTTTTATCACTTAGCAAGATTAAATAAAACTAATAAATGAAGTGATTTTGATTGCTAATTGTAACCCCCACATAGATTGCATGAGATATGGCCGGGACCTACACTTGTGGACCTCGAGGGATGCCTAACACCTTCCCCTCGAGGTAATTTGAACCCTTACCCTAATCTCTGGCTCGTTGACCTTAGTTAGACTTAGTTAGGTTAGATAGGTTCCCTAACGCGCCTTAATTCGTTAGGTGGCGACTCCAAACTCGAAATCCCAAAAGAGTTGTTAGGTCGTGCATAAAACCCATTTTCTGCTAAAATGGAGCGCGACAAAGACTATATGCAACCTGCTCAAGAAAGTTGTCTCTACATCCAAACGAGATTGGAATGAAAGAATGGAAGAAGCTTTGTGGGCATATAGGACAACATATCGCACTCCAACTCAAGCAACACCATATTCACTTGCTTTTGGGGTTGAAGCAATCCAACCACTCGAGCGTCAGATACCTTCCTTATGACTTGATATTCGAGAAGGGCTCATTGAAGAAGAAAATGCTCGGTTGTGTCTTGATGAGTTCTTGATGAAAAGAGACTAGAAGCCCAACAAAACCTTAAACGTTATCAAGCTTGTCTTTCTCATGCTTTTAATAAGAAGGTTCGCTTGAGGTGCTTCAAATTTGGAGACCAAGTTCTCGCGATAAGAAGACCCATCATTACTTCGTACAAGTCGAGGGGCAAGTTTAACTCAAAGTGGGATGGACATTATGTTGTACAAGAAGCATATTCACATGGTGCTTACAAGCTGGTTAATGCAGATGGCGTAAGGACCAGTCCTATTAATGCAAAATTCCTAAAGAAGTACTACCCTTGAAGTAAGATGATGCTCCATTAGTTGTGAGCCTAAACTGCATGTTACTTTTGACCCACACGAGTATAAACTGTGTATGGCACAATCACAAAAAAATAAAAAAATAAAAAAATAAAAGTCACTCAATCTGCCAGAACTACGTTGTGACTTGATCCTCTTCATTGAGGTATGTAGGCGCTTAGAACCATATTCTATGTTCAGTTGCATGAGCATCAAAAAATTAAATGTTCCCACTTGATTTTTTCGCATGAAAATCAGCGATATGAATTTTATTTTATCTTTTGTCTCATCAAACTTTAGACTTGTACGAAGTATTGATGGGTCAATGAAGGGGAAAAACCCTTATAAAATATGAGTTTCTTAAAAGTACGCTTGAAGTCTTTAAATTAGACCAAGTGTGCAAATTGAAGTCTTTAGATTCTTCGATTTTATTATTTGAAGTATTCAAATCCTCTAAGTATGAAAGTAAGACTTCAAGTATGTAAGTAGAACTCTCCAAAGTCTCCAAATGCGCATTTAATTGAAGTTCATGCTTTAAGGTGGGCGAGGTTTTTCCCTTTGCACCTTAAGGTAGCCTTTTTACGGATTATCCTTCAACGGTTCTTTGAATTTCTATGCCTTAAGGTGGACAAACTTGTCCATTTTCACCTTAATCTAGCCTTTCCACCGGTGTATACTTAAAAGGATCTTTAAATTTCCATGCCTTAAAGGTGGACAAGATTTGTCCCTTGCACCTTAAGCTGACCTTTTCACATGTTTATACTTAAAAAGGATCTTTAAATTTCCATGCGTTAAGGTGGACAATATTTGTCCCTTTTAACCTTAACCTATCCTCGTTGCAAATTTATCCTTCAATTAATCTTTAAATTTCTATGCTTTAAGATGGACAAACTTGTCCCTGTGCACCTTAAGCTAAACTTTCCACGGATTTATCCTAAAAAGAATCTTTAAATTTCCATGCATTAAGGTGGACAATATTTGTACCTTTGCACTTTAAACTAGTCTCTTCACGAGTTTATCCAGCCTTAAGTTGGGTAAGTATTCAAGACCTTGTAACACCTTGATAGTATTTTTTTTTCAAGGCGAAAACGTTATACGGTATTCTAGTAAAACTCTAAGTTGGTTAAGCATTTGGGACCTTGTAACACATTGAGTTTTTTTGGACAATATTTGTCCTTTTGCACCTTAAGCTAGCCTTGTTGCGCATTTATCCTTCAATGAATCTTTAAATTTCTATGCCTTAAGGTGGACAAACTTGTCCCTTTTCACCTTAAGCTAGACTTTCTACGGATTTATCCTTAAAATGATCTTTAAATTCTCATGCCTT